TCGCCAGCCGACATTGTTTGGCTGACGGCACCCTGAGGAGACCCACTCTGTGGGAGCGTACCGGTCTGTGGGAGGAAATCTGTGGCAGAAGGCGGTCTCGGAGGTAACCAGGTCCAATGCCATGGAGCGTTTTAAAGGTGGTAACTAACACCTTAAAACGCACCCGGAAGACCACTGGTAGCCAGTGCAGCTCGCGCAAAAGCGGTGTTACATGGGAGCGACGAGTCCCTCCCATCACCGCCCGCGCGGCCGCATTCTGGACCAGTTGGAGTCTCCGGGTGCTCCTCAAAGGGAGTCCCATGTAGAGAGCATTACAGTAGTCCAGGCGGGAGGTGACGAGAGCTTGAGTGTGGCAACGTGCTATTTGACAGACGAGAGCTTGAGTGTGGCAACGTGCTATTTGACAGACGACAGTCCTGAACATGGAGAAATCCTCTATTTGAGGGACCAGCTATCAAGGGTTGATGATGCTTGAGAGCCAGTTTGGTGTATTGGTTAAGGTGCTGGCCTAGAAACCAACCACTTTATCTCAGCCCAACCCACCTCACAGAGTTGTTGTGGAGAAAAGTGAAAGAAGGAATATTGTGTGTATTCACTGCCTTGAGTTACTTATAAAGTATTAAAGGTAGATAACATTCTAAATAACAACAACAACAATAACAACAACAACAACAATAATAATTATAATAATAAAAAATAATAATAATAAAAAATAAAAATAATAAAAATAAAAATAAAAAAAGGTAGTGGGCCAGCCAGTGCAACTATCCAGCCTTCTCTATTATCAAGCATATTTGTAAAATTACTTTTACTGTTAGTTATTAAATTACTGCTAAATGTTTACTTACATAAATTAATTGTGCAAATATTACAGACATATAATCTCATTCATTGCATAGCTCTATTTGTTTGTTTCTTGCATTAACAACTTGACTTTAGGCTACTTCCACCCATCCCAGCTTGATGTCTTCTACTCTCTGCTTAGTCTCTTAATCATTTTGCCCGCTTCTGCTACTTAAATTTGGGGTTGTTCAGCCTGCAGCCTTCCCCTCCCTTACTTGAAATGAAGCGCTTCAAATTTCCGCAAGTGAAACTTCCATGCAAATACAGCCTAGCCAATGGTTTCTATTCAAGGTACTAGCCATCAAGGATTTCCACCCCTTTCTTTCCCAGGAGGCCCGATAATATAGCAGTAACTCGCTAAGAGTGTAGTAGTAGTTGTAGGAACGTGCTTTGAGCAAACGCAAGCAAAGAAAGACCTCATACCTTCACTGGTTTTAGTATATTGCTTCAAAAATCCATATCAAGGCATCCTTTTTGCATGAAGCAATAGCAATAGCACTTACACTTATATATCGCTTCACAGTGCTTTACAGCCTCTCTAAGTGGTTTACAGAGTCAGCATCTTGCCCCCAACAATCTGGGTCCTCATTTAATTGACCTTGGAAGGATGGAAGGCTTAGTCAATCTTGAGCCGATGAGAATCGAACTGCTGACAGTTGATAGAATTAGTTTGCAATACTGCATTCTAACCACTGTGCCACCACAGCTCTTTTCTTAAAGTTTTGGGAAGGGTGGATTGACAAAGGCCGGCACGTTAAATATTACGTTTGCTTCTATCATACATGGTTTAAATTACATCAAGATCATTCTCAAACCTCTGTGGACTGAACGGTTTCATGGGTAAAACCTATTATCCAATGTTATTTTACTCTCAGTGACAGTAATAAAAAATTGCCTGAATTGTATTCAGTATCTTCTGATCAAACAAAGACTTGAAAGTCATCTCACTCTTCAGGAATGTAGTTAGATGTAATTACCGTAGCTGCAGTCTCAACAGAGTGGATCCTTAATAATCATACATGTTCTGCATTTGCCCAAGAAACAACACAACCACCTATTAGCTTAGTGTGTTTCTATTATGAAAAACCAAGCAAGATAGGTAGTTTTGAAAACAAATGCAAAAAGTATCTTTCCCCAACCTGGCTGTCTTGATGTACTGGACTACATCTTCCCTCATCCCCAGACATCCTGGTTGCTAGTCTCACTGACAGGGTGATGAGCACTCTTGTCCCCAAAACTGGAGGACATTGGAGAAATGCTGAAATGTATGCTTCGGTATTGCCTGCAACTCAGTGGCAGTTTTCCCTAGTATTGTTGGCCTTCAGTTCCATACTCCTCTGCCCACCCAACCTAATGAAAGTTAATGAAGTTGGCAGCACACCTAGAAATCACAAGTTGGAGAAGGAGGTATTAAAAAATAAAAAAGAATGCATCAAAATAGCAAAGACCAGTGTGTTTGCTATTTACATATCTAGCAGAAATAACACATGGAAGGAACTCCATGCTTACACTTAAATGTGTAATCTTTAGCCTGGAAC